GGGTCCGGAGCCGGTGGGACGCGCGGCAACCGTGAGAGGAAGACCTTCTGAACCCTGCCCTCTGCCGCCCTTCCCTTCCTTCCCCAGCTCCCTTTTGTGCGCTGTACTTTTTCCCACACCCACAAAAGCTCACTAAGCCCTGGGCCGGGGGACTGTTCGTGACTGAGTAACCTCCTCTCTTCCATCGGATCGCCACCAAGGACCCTCTGCCTTGCGGCCTAACCCTCACTGTGACGTGGTTTCTCAGGGACCTCCTCACTTTACCCCCCAAATCCGCACACCGGTAGAAACGTTCCCCCAAAGGCTGGTGTACATATCACGCTAGTATTTCCCAAAGGGGGTAATGTATTAAAGCTGTCGCGCGGAGTGGATACCCTGCCCCGTAGGTGTGGAAGAATGAAGAGGAGGAAGAACAATGGTTGTCCAGATTAAGGATTCCGAGGGAGTAGCTGGAACCCAGGCGTCAGCAGTAATGTGTCTCTTTGCTTTGACGCAGGCGAATTTAGAACTGTTCGGATTCCACGCTGCGGTTCCAACCATGGGTTTGTCTGCGTCCACCCCTGCTGTTGCAGTTCAGACCTCAAATGCTTCAGCTAACCAGACTATGTCCCAGCCTTCAGGATGTCCAATGCATGAAGAAAAGATGAAAGGTAATCGATCCTTTCTCTAGAAAATAAAAACAAAAGAGAATCTTCAAAAGGATTTTAGGGAAGAGGCAGTACCGCATGCTAGTGAGGCTCCTAGGCCCCAGAGTGAGGCAGCCTGGGTTGGGTCCTTATGTTGCTACTTAAAAGTTAAGTGACTGTAGACAAGTTACTTCAAAACCCATCATCTGTAAGAGGAGGATATAATTCTGCTTCACAGAGTTGTTATGACAATTGAGATAATGCATGACAGTATAGTGTTTGTTCCACACATAACCCCCACCCCCAAAGTTTGCCTGTGCTTACATCAGTGGTTCTCAACTTAGGGGGCAATTCCCTCTCCTCCCAGAGGACATTTGGCAATGTCTGGAGACATTTTTGCTTGTCACAGCTCAGAGGCAATATCTATACATCTAGTGAATAGAAGCCAGGAGTTCTGCTAAACAGCCTACAGTGCACAAGATAGGGACAGCCCCCTCAACAAAGACTCATCTGGCCCCAGATGTCCAGGGGGTTGTGGTTGAGAAACAGTGGTCTAGATCAGGGGTGGGGAACGTCCAGCCCCTGGGTTGGAAAACATTTGATCTGGCCCTACCAAGGCAACCGCAGGAGGGACTCGAAATTCAACAAATCTAGGAGCTTTTTTCATAGCTAATTTTTAAGTTAAAAATTTTGTATGGCCCACGAATGATGTTATAAATATCCAAATAGCCCTTGGCAGAAGAAAAGGTTCCCCACCCCCAGTCTAGATCTAGCTGTCTTTATTTATCAAGGCAACTTTACTCCTGCCTCCATGGCAGTATTCATCTATGTAAAAATAATTCATCACCTGAAGGACTTACGTTTCATTCTTTAGGTACAAATGGAAAAGCTTGCATTTTGGATTGATCCACATCTGCTTTATGTTGTTTATATAAACCAGGGCCTGAATCAGCCTGATGTGTGCCTTCTTGTTTCAAGACATGAGGGGAGGAGCCCACATGGCATGCTTACTGAGTGCTAAGGTTTCATTCCGTTGGTCAGTGAGCAAGGATTTACTCACTGCCCACTCTGTGCCAGTCTCTGGTGGGTTTCGCTTATTCGTTTTGTGCTGAGAGAACGGCAGTGTAGAAGACAGACAAAAATCCTTTGCCTAATTGAGTTTACATTCTCATGCTCATAATCCCTTGTGGTAGGTTTTCTCCCTACTTTTTAGTTAAGGAAACTTACAGCTGCAGCAGCTCATAATAGCAAAGCCAGGAAAACTCTGACCTTGGACAAGGACAGATCTAGTTCTCTTCCAGAGTTTCTCTAAACAGGAAGAATTGAATGGGAAGAATTGAGAAAGGTTGAGTGTGCTTCTGCTCTGAGCATCGCTGGGGAGATCATAGCCCTGTCTGGTTTCATTTCATTTGCTGTGTATACAGAAGAGCTTGGACTTATTTGCATAAGTAAAGAATGTGGATATTTGTAGGAGATTGAAGGGGCCGTGGGTTGTGTAACATGAAAAATGTAAACAGTATTTTTTTCTAATGCCCATCTGGGATCAGTGGCCCAGAAAAGATTGATACTTTGAGTGGTAGAGAGGAAAGGAGGTATAGCAAGTCTGCCTTCACCCCTCAAGTGGACGAAAGCAGGTGAAAGGAAATTTGTCTTTTTTGTGGTGGGGCATCTGGCATTCAGCATATTCCTGGTGTTAAGGCTGCTGCCTAAGTCAAGGATTCCGTTACTCACACTGCTATCTTCCGGGGCTCTCCCGATACTTGCCCCCTCTCTTAAGCCATAGACCAGCTTCTCAGTCCCCACACTTGCTTCCATCAGCACCCTTGATCCTTGGGCATTGACTGCCCTTCCTGCTGCTCCTCTCATAGGTTCAGACCTCTCCTGAGTGGCATCTAGATCCTACAGAGATTGTGGAACATTTTCTATAATGTCTGCCTTCTCTTGCTCAACTCTTACTATGTACTGACGGTGAATGGAACCTCAGCCACATGGTAGTTTTCTGCGCCTTGTTTTAGTCCTAGAGCAAAGCACAAGCGGAGTGCATTAGACTTCTCCGGTAGCCTTTTTGAGGTTCCTCTGCTCATTTTCATCTCCGGTGTCCTTATTGGGGCTGGGCCTTGTCTGGAACTTGGAACTAAAGAGTCAAGGAGATGGGTGAAATGTGGCCCAGCCCCCACTTAGGTACCTCTGCAGCAGCTCACAGCTGTAAGTCCAGGCAGGTACCTTCTAGCCCGTTACTGAAACCACAGCATTCCATTG